CCATGGATGCCCTGGCTCGCCAGGGGGAGGAGTTGGGCCTGGACCTGCAGCTCTGCTCAGACGTCCTGGCCCCAACGTGCATCCCCAACACCTGATGGAATCGCACCTCCCGCTTTGCTCTCTGGCCTTCGCATCTGGTTTTAATTCTTAACCCTCAATCACCACCTATTATGATATATTTATTTGTCTGAATGGTCTACTCCCCCTCCCCCACGAGACCGGAAGCTGATATCTAATTGTCGCACTGTTGCAGTCCCTACACCTAGAATACTTCCTGGAACACTGTGGGCCCTCAATTTTTGTCCTTGTTGAGCGAGTGAATGATCAGAGAGGTTTGCAATTAAAACCAGAACCTCCCTGCCTGGTCTCTGCCGCTGAGCCTGGTACCCTCTTAGGGGCCCGGGAAGCACAGCGCCACCTGAGGCTGTGAGACGCAACCGACCAGCACCAGCTTTTCCTGATAGCCTCGTCTCCCCAGGCCTGGGAACGTCTAGCGATGCAGAATAACCATGGCGGTGCCTTGGGTATGGCGCTGCTCACCCGCCTCGCGGACTCCGCGCAGCACCTGGGCCTGCTTTACGCAGACCCGCCCCGCACAGACTTCCCAGAGCTCATCTGGAACCGTCTGATTTGCATCTCCAAAGAAATAAAATAAACGCTGTTTATTTTTCCTTCTGTTTGCCCCGAGGCGGGCCTGTTGTGGCTCCCGGGACCCAGAGTGGATAATCAGAGTGATTTCTGTGGTTAGGGGAGCGAGCCCGGACCTCTCAGCAGCCTGCAATAAAGGAGGGGGGCCGTGACTCCAGTGTGAAAGAGATGGGGGGTGGAGGGGAAAGATAAACGACAGAACCTGCCTGACACGATTACAGCCGCATTTGCATAACAGAGACAGAGCGCTGGCTTCGAAGGAGTGGTAATTAGATTCTCCGGTGATTAGGGACACTTTCCAGAGTGGGGAGAGGAGATGAAAATCCAGCCTTGAAGTGGTGCAGAAGGGATGTGCAGAACTGAAGATCGCCTGGGCAGCAGGAGAGGAAGACTCAGAGCTAAGGGAGTCCAGGCCCTGCACACACACACACACACACACACACACACACCCTGCATCTTCCAGTCACCACCCCAGGCTTGGAGTCTCCTGCTGGGGGTGGGACCCAGTGGGGACCTTGTGGACGGCCACCAGCCTGCTGGGCAGTGCCAGGCTCTGTTCCAAACCAGCTGTGTGACTGCACACATGTGGCCTCCCTGAGACCCAGTAACTCACCTGCTAACGGTCTGTTTCTCAGTATGTAGTAGTATAACTGAGATAAGCTAACTTTATAAAGAAAAGCGGTTTTGTTTCACTCAGTTCTGGAGACTGAAGGGCATGGCAACGGCTTTGGGTTGGCTCTGCTAAGAACTTTGTGACAGAGGACATCACGACAGTGGGAGTATTTACTCAGCTTTCTGTTGCTGGGACAAAACACCTGACATACACAACTTAAAGGAGAAAAGATTGATTTCAGCGCACAGTTTCAGAGGGTTCAGTTCACAGTTGGCTGGCTCCAAGGCGAAACAATCGTGGCAGAGGAAACTGCTCACTGTAGCAGGAAGGAAACAGAAAGCAAGGAAAAGGGCCAGAGAGGGAGAGGCCAGGGACCAAATACAGTCCCCAAGATCTCAAAGCTGTGGCCCATGCAGACACACCCAGAAGTGTGATTTACTAATCTCCTGAGCAGCTCGTGAGCCGATCAGTTGGACAATCAAGGTTCACTATCACGGAGCACTCGCGGAGGAAGACATCCAGCCTCCAGACAGGAAGTCAGGAGCGACTCAGAAGTCAGGGTCACCTTATAACAACTTGCTTCCACCAGGGAGCCCCATGAGTTACCAAGTCTCTCTGATGGCAGCTCTTCCAATGACCTACGAGGACCCCGTGGGCCCCGCCCCTTACAGATCTCACCATCTCTCCACACACAGGGGATCCAGCTCCCAAACCATGATCCCTCCAAAACATACTCAAACAACCACAGGGGCTACTTGATGGTCAGTGAGTTCCCATCAGAAGAGGGTGTGGAGGTTAAACACAGGCAGTTCCTTCCCTAGCTCCCTCCCTAATGCGGGTCCAGGGTGCAAGGCTGAGCCCCCTCACAAAGGAGAGGGTTTTAAATTGAGAAGCCAGCAACCCTGAGTAGACAAGAAGGCTGGCAGGCTTGTCAGGGTATGTGGCCTAGGAGTTAGACCTAGGAAAGTCAGAAGACATGGCCCTAGATCAGCTCGACCTCTCCCTAAGTCCCAATTTTCACCTTCTCCCCTCTCAAAAGCATGCATCATAGAGATTACTGTTTTTTGTTTGTGTTTTTGACAGAGGCTATTGCTGTGTTAATCAGGCTGGCCTTGAACTCGTGGCAATCCTCCTGCCTCAGCCTCCCAAGTGCTGGGATCACAGCAGTGCACCGCCACACCCGGCTCATAGCGATCATTTGAATGCAATATTCATGCACATATAAAAAACATTTACAAATGTGGGTGCCTTATTATTAGTAACAGGTTATTTGTGTCATGCCTCCTACTACTTGGGCTGAATTCTTTGATGACAAGGACCAGGTTTTTAAAAATTTTTATTATCATTTTAAATTCCTGGCATTAAGCAAATAGTGGGTGATCAGAAAATGTTTAATGGCTGACTAACCATGTTTGACTTTTGCCTCCTCCCCAGTGCTATGGGACTGGCCAGGCAGGGGCCTCTTTCAAACAAGACATCTTAACCTTGAAGTGTGGCTACCATGACTCTCAATGCAGTAAGGGACGTGGGGGATGGAATCCTCCCTTCCCGGCTTCTAGACCCAATGTCCTTGGTTTCCAGGAAGAGTGAATTGCAAGAGGCTTCTGCAAGCACAAGTTAAGTGATCACACACACACACACACACACACACACACACACACGCGCACAAAGAGAAAAGATTCATCTCACCTCTCCTGTGGACTCCAGGATTTGAACCTAATTGCTATGATTAGAGAAGAATGAGTCAACATTTTGTTCTTCTTTTAAAGGGGGCGTGTGTAAGTGTGCGTGTGTGTCTGTGTGTGCGCATGCGCCTGCATGAGTGTTCAAGTTGTGGTTATAGAAGTATTTCTGCAAGTCAAGTACTAGCTGAAGCTAAGAGTTTGTGTTCAGCTGGTCTCCATGGAAACCTGTCAGCTCCTTTGCCTCCCTCTTGCTCCCCCTGTTAGGCAGATTCTCTCCTTTCCCAAACAGGAGGACCAAGGTTAGTGAGAGGGAGCAGGGGACCATCCACAGCAGTGTCAGCGGCTCCCAGACAGGAGCTGTCTGCCGGGGTGGGGCGTGTGGCCAGGCTCAGAGGTGGCAGGGCCGCGGGCCCCTGCAATGAGGTCACCCCCTCCCCACTTCCTGACTGCCCAGCTGGTGCCACCGGCTCAGGAAGCCAGGGCCTTAATTATATGCGTGGGACCCCATGCTCTCCAAGACCAGATATGAGTTTTTAAAATAGAAGATCAGCAAGGGGTTAGGAGGGAGGCAGGAGCTGCAAGAATCTCGGAAGGACAGACAGCGGTGCCAAGACAGAACAACTTTTTGATTTTCCGCTATTTTGAGCCAACAAGGGTCCCCAGAGATGATAGGTGAAGGCAAAGGGTCAGAAGACGGGGACTTAGGCTCAGAACAAATGTAGGCTTGGCCTGAACTTTTCCCACGTGTATTTCATAAAATCTTAATTGATAAATGCAAAATAAATGCAGGAATCTGTACATTTTCCATGCAACGCATACTTTTAAAGTCCCATGCTTCTTTCCTAATATTTTGTAATACAATCAGCTAATTGCTTAGGGCAAGAGGACACAGCCAGAGAGTCACAGACTTAGGTTCTTTTCAGCCCAGACGACTACTGAGTGTGCCAGGCGTGGCTCCTTTCCTCCCTACAAGAAGCCTTCACTGTAGATCCTATTAAGAGCCACCACTTTACAGAGACGGAGTTGGAGGTACAGAGAAGTTAAGGAAGTTGTTCAAGGTCACACAGCAAGCAAGTGGCAAAGAAGAGGTCTAGGCAACTGCCCGGATTTAAACAATGGCAGCTCCCACCCCTTCTGGAAAAGGCCGGCTTCCCCCACTCCTGGGGTTCATGGCACTTGCTCCCTTCCCTTCAAGCTGCCCCTTCCCAGATGCCCCCTCGTCTCAGCCTGGCCTCTCGGGGTGGCAGAGAGGAAGCTCTGCCCAGCAGTCCTGCTAGGAATGACAGCGCCACCCACCCTGTCATCCCTGCCTCGCTCGTCCCTGTCAGACACCTCCCAGCTCCCAGCTGTCTGTCAGCAGCTGCTCGGGGATATAAATAACCAGCCTTGGCAGAGGCGCCCTGGAGGGAGGGGACAGACTGGGTGGTGACAGGCGGTGGAGGAACACAAGGGTCCTCCTTTGGGCTCAGATATTCCAGTCTGCTCCTCAGAGGAGCTGGCTAAAGCCTGCAAGGCGATGGGGAACTGGGGTTTAGCACAGAGCAGCTTGGTAGAGCGAGGAGGCCCAGCAAGCCCGCTCTGTCACTGTGTCCCCGGCTCTCCATCTGCCGGGCATCTGGTTGGACTGTGCCGCTCTAATCTTTCCCTGCACCCCCTCCTGATTCTCTTCCTCTCTCTCCCTCTCTCTCTCTCCTTTCCTCCCTTGCTTCCTTCTTTTTCTTGAGGCGGGGTCTCACTACACAGTCCAGGCTGGCTACCAACTCTGGCTTAGGCTGACTTCAAACTCCTGATCCTCCTGCCTCAGCCTCCCAAATGAGATCACAGGTGAGCACCAGCAGGCCCCGCTGTCTCTCTTGATTCTTGAGGAAGTATGTGGGGACCCCTCTCCCACAGGATCCACAGAGCGGAAGGATGCTAGTGCTATGAGGGAAGATGGTCCTGGAGAGGAGGGGGCCCTAAGCCTGATGTGAGCACAGAGCTGGGGCAGAAAGAACAACGAAAGGAAAGTTTGGGCAGAAGAGGAAGGACAAGAGGACAACTTAACATTTTACCACCATTTATCAAGCCTCTGCCAGAGGTTGGGTCCGGTGTGTTTATTTCTTCATCCCTTCTTTACAGACAGGGTCGCTAGAGTGTTGAGGAGAATCAGGAGCAGCAGGGCTGGAAGGACCTCTGAGGACCGCTAGGTGAGTCCCCACATTCTGCTGGGGAGACACAAAAGGAGGCAGTGAGACGCCCAGTCCCTCGGCCAGACACGGGCAGGGCTGGCTAGACGCAGCTCCCAGCAGCCCCTGCGGCTGCCGCCCTCCTCCTCTGGGGCCAGCGCTGACAGGGGCTGGATTGACGCAGGAGTCACAGCAGCGAAGTCACAGAGAAGCCCTCTTGCTAAGAGGCTGTTAGGGGAAAGGGGCCCTGCAGTAAATCTGCAAGTGTGTCCAACCCGCACCCTGCAGGCCCATGAGGTCCTGGTCAGCTGGTGATGCGCCCGGCAAGGCTGTGGACTTTGAACCGTACTACGAGCCAGTGGCACTTTTCATTGCTTAACTGTGTGGTGCTCGACTGGGGATACCAAGGCCCAGCTCTGTATGAGAGGGTGAAGTAGGGTGCTGACTCTGCTTCCTGTCTGTCCCCCTCCTTTTTAAATGTTATAATGAAAAATATTAAAAATAAAGGAAGTTTTGTTGCTTCTACACATTAACTATATTGTACATTTTATACACAGCCCAAGATCATTCCTTTTCACTCCATGTGGCTCAAACAAGACAACAAACAGGCTGGACACCCCTGATTTAACAGGGTCCGTTTCTGTGGCTGACCGGCCGCCTTTTCAAAATCTCTGCGACCCATCAGTTCTCCCTCTTCTGTGGGCACCAGAACGGCCCGGGAGGTCCTTAAAACAGAGCCGAGCTCCACCCCAGGCTTCTGGATCAGTAGGTGTATTTTTCATACTTCCAATTTTGTGTGTAGTGCAGTGTTTTGATGTCTAAGAGTGAGACTGTGCATACCATCGGCAGCCCCAATTGTCAGAGCAAAGGGCCCTGGAGCACATCTTTGATATGTAAATTAGCCAGCGGGCCACACCTCCTTCTCCTGCCCCAGCACTAGGCCTCGCCAGAGACCAGGCAGCTGGGACAAACCACCCGCCAAGCCTGTTAAAACATCCAAACTAACCAATCCTACACTGCCCCGCTCTGCTTCCCTCCCCACACAACCCCATGAAGTCAGGGCCCGGCCTCCTCCGCCCGCCCCTCTGCCACCTGACCATCCTGACACTGTTCCCTGAGGCTCTGCAGGACATGTCCTGCCTCCTGTCCCTAGGACAGGGTTTAATACACTGGCCACCCCCGACTGTCACATAAAGAAAACAGATGGTAGGTCTGTGGCAGAGCCTGAGAATCTGCATTTCTACCAAGCGCCTGCTTTGAGAACTCGGGAGAGAGGATTCAAAGTTAACTGGAGAAGTAGATGAATTTGCACAGGGCCCAGGAAGGCACTGGAGAGGAAGATGAAGGAGCCAATCTCTTACTCTAAGGACTACGCCCTGCCGGAGTGGACAGAGCAGCCCGCACAGCCCGTGGGAAAGGCCACCCCAGCCAGGAGGGAGAACTGTCCTGTAAGAAACGAGACAGAGCGCAGCAAAATGGGGCCCGGGCAGCAACAGCAGCAGCAGCAGCCTGGGGGAGATACAGAAATGCAGGGTGCAGGGCTCTCCCCAAGACCCGTGGAGCCCAACGGTCGCAGTGTGGCCTCCAGTCTGTGCTAGTAGCTCTCTGGGGGAAATAACCTGGGTACCCTACAGAACCTGGGCAGTGAGTGGCTTGCTCTGGCCCACGGTGTGGCTGAGGCAGAAGCTCCCCCAGACACAGCCGCCTAGCAGGGGAGAGCAGCAGGACACGGAGCACACACTACCCACACTACGCTGGGGTCCAGGCCTGAGTCAGCTGTTGTAGGGACCGCCAGTGGGGAGTCATCGTCTAAAGGCAGCGACAGAGGCACTGACTGCCAGGCGATCCAGAGACACAGTCACTGGCCCTCAGTCTACACGGACAGCCTAGGGCTTTTCTCACCATTTCCGGGGAAGAAAGGGCATGACACCAGGAAGATAGGGGTGTGGGACTTCCTGCTCAGCTGGGCAGAAGGTTGCTCCTAAGACTGATTCCACAAAATCTGTGCTGGGCATGAGGGTGCACGCCTGTAATCCCAGCACTCTGGGAGGCTGAGGCAGAAGGATCTCAAGTTTGAGGTCAGCCTGGGGAACTCAGTGAGACCTTGTCTCAAAATACAGTAAAAAAGTCTGGGGTGTAGCTGAGTGTAGAGAGCTTGCCTAACGTGCACGAGGCCCTGGGTTTGATCCCAGTACAGACACACACAGACACACACACACACACACTCACACAGCTTCCCCCCCTGACCTAGGCTGATAAAGACCATCACACTGTTCATCTTTCAGAGATTTCTTATTTTCCATGTGCCTCTAATGAGAGAGTTAGTGGCAACCCTGTGTATCTGTGGGCTCTAAATCCAAGGACTCAACCGACTGCAGATCAAAAATAGTAGGAAATAAACTGCATCGGTACTAACCCTGTACAGAATTTTCCCTGTTATTATCCTTGACAACACGGTGTAATAACTAGGAAGACAGCACTGTGATGGACCAGGTGTTGTGAGCAATCTAGAGACGATTTAAATATGTGGGAGAATATGTGTAGGTTACGTGCAAAATACCATTTTCTATAAGGGACTCGAGCACCTTTGGATTTGGGATCTGTGAGGGGTCCTGAACCAGACCCCCGTGGGTGCCGAGGGACCTCTGCACTTGCCATGAGAATTGCGATGAGCGGTGGCTGGACAGTGAGGGCCACTCATGGACAGTGTCGCCACTTCTCCTGTCCCCACTGGACCCTGTGGCCTCCCGCCACCCAGCACACAGATTCTACTTCTGTCCCCCAGGCTGGTGGGGGAACCCAGTTCCTGTCCTCAGCAAGCTCCTGTCTGGTAGAGAGGTGGCACGTCGCTTGCCTTCGAGGAGTTCCCAGCGTAAGGAGTGTGTATGTTAGTCGTGCTTTCTTCCCATTGATTGGCCTCCTTTCATGGGATGGGAAGGAGGGCCCCGGAGAGCCCCAACCTAAACTGTCTTGCAGTGCAAGCCCCAAACGAAGAGTTCTGTCCACTGATAGTGACTGTGGGAGGAGGCACAGTCTGTCCTTGCCTGGACCCGGTGTCCACCCCAGTTGGGGGGGGCTGGGTGGTGAACAGGGGCAGATGGGAGCCTATGATCTCCACAGAATGGATCCTAGTATGGTGTAGGGGCAGGGCAGCAAGCTGTCTGGAGACACAAATACAGCTCCAGGCAGCCGGGCACATAATCCTGCACAGCATGTGGACACAGGCACGTAGAGCAGAAGTCATGCAGATCAGTGCACCAGAGTGTGCTTAAATGCAGAGATCTTGGTGTCTGAGGTCAGAGGGAGTTAAATGGGAAGGGCTGATAGGAGATCAATCCCGACCCAGACTTGGAAGACAGAGCAACAGGTCTTTGGGAAACTGGAGCCTGAGGGGTCCCGGCAGATGGCCAGGGACAGGAATGGGGTGCTGGGGTTACACCATGAGGAGTGACAACAATTTCCCAGAGGGTGCTGGGGACCTGCAGTCCCACAAACCTAGCCCGGCCCCCCTCTGCTCCCCGTACAACACAGGACGTCCCCTCCATCCCCGGTGGTTGTGTCCAGCTCTTGGAAACCTGAGAAAGGAGCAGAATGTGAGGTGTGAGAGAAAACAGGGGCAGCCCTTACTGTTGTCATGGCAACACAGTCACAGCCAACTGTGCTGTAAACACCAGCGTGTGTGAGCCTTTTCCTAAGCTGGAGCCCCAGGACATAAAGGAACAGGGACAGCACAGGGTGTGGGATCACCCAGAAAGCCTGCGTCCATCCTGCCGGGCCACTGCACTGGGGCTCGGGGGCTGCTTTCAGGCCCTTGGAGCAGACAGGAAAGCCCTGCATGCTGAGTGCCTTCCTCTACAGAAGGGAGTGTGGGGTGGGCGTGGACTTTGTCCCTCTTCGTCCGCTCCCCTCTTCCCAGCGCTCACCTTCTTTCCTGCCGGCCTCTCCTCCGTCTCTTCCCACTGTCTTCTCCTCTTCCTTCTCCCCTCTCTGCTTTACTCCTCTCTTGTTCCCTTCTTCTCTCTCCTCCCCGCACCTGTTTTCGCCCTGTTTAAATGGATACGAAAGCCTGAGGAGTAGGTGGGGAATAAGGCATGGGGGACAGAGGAGAGGGAGACTTTGGTTTCAGGCCTTTCTTCCTGCCACCCCAGAACCACAGCAGAGACCTGCAAGCCTCACTCCATGGGGTGTGGGTCACCCACACACTCCCAGAGCTCAGCCTGCACCTGCCCCACCCCTGCCTGGCTGCAGGAGGCAGAAAGTCAGGGACAGGTGAGGGCTGCACCCCAGCGGCAGCCAGTGCGATTCTCACCCCTGAGGAAATGGGGGCCTCCTGGTTTTCTGTGACTCACAGTTTGCCCAAAGCCAAAACTGAGGCATCACTCCCCACTCGCCAACCGTATTGTGTGCTGATTAATGCGCGGAGGGCCAGGCAGCTGGATCTCTGCTCCCAGAGTCCCTGGAACACCCGCTAGGCCCTGGAGCTGGGTCTCGAGGGAGGGTACAGTGGGCTTGAAAATCTGGTGCCGAGAAGACATTCTCCAGAAATAAAACCAAAGTTCAGTGCTGAGGAAGGGTCCCTGAAATGCCTGTTCTGCTTCAAGAGAAATCGTCTTCTTATGAGATAAGAGCTGCTCCTAATGGCCTGCAAACGTGTTTCTTGAAGCTCACAGACCCTTATCTTTGGGGGTAGGCAGCTACCCACCTAGGAGTCCCGCACCGAGGACAGCTACACTGGCATAGGCTAGCCACAGGAGTCCCAGATGTCACCCTGGCCCCAGGCTTAGGAGACCCCTCCAGACAGACTTAGATTCAGCCACCTCGGGGTCTCCCGCATCTCAGATCATGGGCCCGCAGTGGTGACACATAGGGCTGTCACCCCAAGAACCTTCACTCCTGCTCCGGGGCCCCACACTGTGGGAAAACGTGGGTCCCTGGGTGCACTGGGCAGTAGGGGCAGGGTGGCGGTCACCCCTCAACGTAGTGTCTCGGGCCAAGTGTGCACACCTATGTACGCGACCTCACTGGCTTGCGCAGGACTGAGGGCTGTGTACTTGTGTGTGTGTGTCCGTTCACGGGTGCCTCGGCAGTTTGGGGAGGAGCCACGGCTCTGCGGAGATTTCATTTACGTGAGTTTTGGGGAAACTGTCAGGACAGGAGGGCCAGGGCTTACCTCACAGAGAAGGGGAGGTGTGAGGACCGGACCAGCAGGCACACTGGGAGGGCACAGACTGGGCACTTGGGGAGAACTTGGCTTTCTTCCGGGCCCACCAGTCTGTGCCTGTTGATGACAAAGGCGGTTGTTATAGACTGCTAGACATCCACAGCGCTCTCATTCTTCAGAGCTCCTTTGTTATTTTCATCCGGGAGCCGGCGCGAGGAGCAAGGTTCAGGGGCCGGGACTGGGAGGGCAGACGAGGAATCACAGCGCAGACTCCGAGGTTGTTTCTGAAATGCTTCCGCTTTATTCAGGAAATGGGCAGGCTTATATAGGGTAAGACGGGGGTGGAGCCCGGTGGCGTTACTGGATTGCTATTGGATAAGGTAAGGCAGGGGTGGAACCAGGGTGGAGTCGGGATATTTGGCACATCGCTATTGGCCGCATGTTAGTTTTTGGATTGTACGTGTTAGGGACTGAGGCGCATGGAGTCAGGACTTTAGAGGTTTTTGAGAATAACCGTTTATCTGTCTGAGGTCAGATCTCTACACATCCAAGGGGGCGGATTATTCCAGCCCTAATAGGCCTCGGAGTTTTCTCAGGAGAGATGGGTGCGCTGCTCCTGACTCAGCCAGACATGAACCTGATCCTCACTCCTTCCTGTCTGCGATCTCATTCGATCCTCAGCAATTCACGGGAATCACCTTCTTGACTTCCAGAATGAAAGCTCTGAACTCAGAGAGGTTAAGGGACTTGTCAGAGTCACACAGCTCATTAGATTTGACAAAATACAGCTAATCCTCCTTACCCGTGGGGTCCACATCTGTGGATTAAACCAACCACAGGTCACAATTATTCCAGCTGGGTGCAGTGGTACACACCTGGAATCCCAGCTACTCACATGTCTGAGGCAGAAGGATTGCAAGCCTGAGGCCAGGCTGTCCCAAAATAAAAAAATTAAAAAGGGGTAGGGGTGTAGCTCAGCACTGCAGCACTTGCCTTGCATGCAAGAGTCCCTGGGTTCAACCCCCAATATGAAAAAATAAAAACGAAATTCCAGAAAAAAATTTGAGTTTATGCTGAACCTGAGCATTTTCCCTGCCGTTAGTGCCTAAACCGCACAGCATAACAAGTATTTACACAGCATTTACATTATATTAAAACTAATCTAGAGGTGTTATAAGTAACCTAGAGATTATTTGAAGTAAGGGGGGGGATACTTGTAGGTTATATGCAAATACAATGCCATTTTACCTGAGGGACTTGAGATTCATGGGTCTGGGCATCTGAATACAGTCCTCACGGACACACAGGGATGCTTGCTTCTGGATGGTTCCAGCGGATCACCAACGTCATCTCTTATTAGAGAAACGTCTGAGGCACAACAGGTCTGCTGCGGGCCCTGGCGCTGGGCTGTCTTAGGCCTCCCGGGCTTGGGCTACGGTAGCTGCCCTGTGGGATAAAGAAATAAGCACAAAGTTTAAACACCTGGAACACAACAGCCCCGCAAGACTTGTGTGATGCACGACGACAGTCTCATTTGTATGCATGCGTGTGCACACACACACGTTTGGGGCCACTCTCCCTGGGTGCCCGGAGAGTCCTCTCCCTGCCTGTGGCCAGCACCACTCCCAGAGCAGAATTCCAGATCTAGAAGAGGCCCCATCTCCTCTCTCCAAGCTCTCCTTGTGTGGGCAGGAGACGGCACAACGACTTAACACGCTGGACGAAAACACATAAACACATGCAGAGTAAGAACCCAGCTGTGGAGCCTCTCGCAGAGCCGAGCCGGGGGGCGGATGCAATGAGCAGGGAAACAGAACTGGGTGCTGAGTGGAGGCAGCTGTGTTTCAGTCCAGGAACTGGACTCTGAGGGTCTGACCTGCCTGGTGAGCTATGTCCCAAGGTCCCCTCTGCATCCTGTCTGCCAAAGAGCTGCCTGAGACCCCACAGGCTCTGACCCAGCTCTGGCCGGATAGAAGCTTCGGAACAGGCCCCACCATAGAGGCCAGTGACACGCTTTGGTGACTGCCAGAAGGGTAGGCAGCGTAGGGCCATCTCAAAGCAGCATCAGAACCCTTTCCTCAGTTCGGCAGGGTCCCTTCCCCACCAGATCAACCAGCCTTCGGAACAGGCTGGGAGAGAGAAGCCACTGTACAAAGCGGGAAACTGAGCCTGGGGCCCGGAACCCTGACAGCCCAGCCTGCCTTCCCCTTGTGGCACTTCCTCCTTGCTGGCCTCCTTCGAGCCTGCTGGGGTTGATTTAAATCAAGCTTTAAAAACAACCCAAGCCAGGCATGGTGGCTCATGCCTGGAATTCCAGCACTCGGGAGGCTGAGGCAGGAGGATCACTGTGAGTTCGAGACCAGCCTGGGCTACATAATGAGTTCTAGGTCAGACTCAACTACATAGTGAGACCCTGTCTCAAAAAAAAAAAAAAAAGAAAATAGAAA